GACTTATATGCCCTATATGCTGCAAGCAGCTGCATGCCAGGAGCACAGTCTCTGCGATTGTCTGATGAGGATGATTGGTGATGTTGTGCTCCCACTCCAGGGAGTTTGAGCCCAGACATGTTTTCTAAGATTAGCCTGCTACACAGGACAGCGCACAGCTAGCAGCACACTCAGTACAGTGATGTACACATACAACATCTTCAGCGCTCTCTGAATTCATTAATAATGTGTTCTTATATAAGATGGAAATATGGCAGCGCTTTGAAATGGACAAACGATATACTGTTTATGTGTTTATGCTCTGTGTGTGCATTTGCACACGGATTTGTGCGCACCATTCATACATTCCAAAGCTAAACAAACTCAGTGGACACTTTATTAGGTATGGATTGATACTGCTGGGTTGGATCCAACAAGCTGCTGGAAACATTCCTTGATGATTTTAGTCCATGTGGGCGTGATAGCATCACAAAGTTCCTGCACGTCCATAATGTCAATCTCCCGTTCCACCACATCCCAAAAGTGCTCCCTTGGATTGAGATCTGGTGACTGTGGAGGCCATTTGATTGTGTTTAAGACACCAGCTTGAGTTGATTGTACCTTTGTGACATGTGCATGACCTGTAGACAACGGAGCATGAGTACACTGTGGTCATATAGGGATGGACATGGGCAGCAACGATGCAAAGGTAGCCTCTGGTTTAGACCAGATTCTGACCCTACCTCACAAATATGGCTGCAGAAATCGAAATCTAGACCAGGCAACGTTTATCCGATCTCCACCAGAACCAAAGCATTGCCTATTGTCTGGTTTTGCCCGTGTGAAGTAACTATAACAGTACAGCACTACTATAAAAGTATAGAGTTGAAAAAGATCCTCTCCCATTAATGAGTTAAAACTTAAGAAACAAGACAAGAAAAACACATTAAAACAGTTAAAACAACCAACCAATTCTGGATAAAGTTAGTCAGTCAGTACTAATACCTGAAACCATTTTAAGACCATTCAAAGTTGTACTGCAACATACCTGCACATCAGCTGCCAAACACATTAATGTTAAATATTGGAGTTACTCCATATAGTGCCTTTAAATAAAGAGATGAATCAAAATACTTCATGCAAAATTAAGATTTCCCTTTGCAACAGAAACATGCTGCAGAATAAACAGGATAGCTCTTTTGTTTTGATACCTCACGCTAATGGAGGACCGAAGCAGACACTCACACAGGAGGAAAGTCACGCTGACAAAAAACTGACTCACCTACAGAAGACACAATACTTCCAGGTGTGTGTAGGAGTAAAGATAGCAAAAGAGAAAGAAGGGTACTATGCACTCCAGGTTTGCCACTACAGACGAAGAAAGGATGATGGGAGTGGAAGGAAAACCAGAAGAGATGTAGGCGAATTATAAAAAAAAGAAAAAAGAAAAAGAGTGAAATCCCAGGAGAAAGAAACTGGAGATAGAGAGGTATGATAGGGAAGGGGATTAGACGTTGCAGCAAGAGAAAGAGCAGAAATAGAGGTCAGCAGTGATAGACCCCGACCTTCGACTACTTTTAGATCTGTTCACTTCAGAGGAGCTGGTCAGTGACCTTTAACCCAAGCGGTGATAACCTCATTTCTCCCCAAAGCTCCTGAATGTCTGGAAGAGTTTCTGTCCTGTAACACAGGACCACCGCAGAGAGCGTCTATGTTCACTGGACGGGTGACGGCGCACGCAGACAGACGTTATGAAAGCTATACAGCCCTGATCCAGACACTGATATGCCTGAGCTGTCTGTGCGAGCCTGTGTATGTGCGCGCAGAGGCAGACAGATACAACAATGATAAGAAGCCAGTGGTGATGGAGATCGAGCATTCCTGAGGACCAAATCGCCAAACTGTAACTGCACACAAATAAACTGAGTCGGCTCACCTGTGGGATTTTTTTTCCCAGACGCTACTAATGATGTAGGTACGCTCAGATATTAAACACATAAATTAGCGTGTCCTCTGCAGGCAGACTTTCCTCTCTCTCTCGCTCTCTCACATGCTTCCTCTGGCAAGCGGTGACAATGTAAATGTTGAGTGAGCTCAAGCATCCATATGGCAGCCAGTGATAAAGGACGAAGTGTGTGGGAGATGCACATTGCACCACTGACTTCCATTTCCTGTCTCTCACCCACCAGGTCTAACTAATTTCACAGATGACCACAGGCCTCTCACAAAGAAGCACACAGAAGGAGGAATACTGTACAACCTGTGTGAGCGTCGAGTCTTTCAGCTGCTGGACTAGATGGGCTTTTAATTTGTGGTGAAGCTGATGCAGAAAACAGCACGGTGATAGTGCCGACAGAGGTTGGAGACAGCCGCTTACACAGATCTATGTAACGTTACTTTGTGGTTAACTTCAGCCGTGGATTAGTCCCTGTAGTTTTCTTATGAAGTCATCGTATTTCATCTTTTCAGTCTCGCACGCCTTAAATGATGTAAAGTAAAACGTGAGCAAATCTGAATCTGAATATTTAGATCTGCACAGAAATCTAATTTTCATTACTGATCAATCTGTTGGTTATTTTTATAATTTGTGTGCCTGTGTGGGTTTCCTCCAGGGGCTCCAGTTTCCTCCCACAGTCCACAGTCATGCACGTTAGGTTAGCCGTAGATGTGAATGTGAGCGTAGTCGCCATCGGTGCTCTTTAATGGACTCGCACTCGGTCCTGTTTACCCCACCCCACCTCTCCCTGTGCCAAAGTAACCCACCACCCTGACGCTTTCGTTTCAGTTACACAAGAAATATTTTTTATGTTTATCTAACTGATTGAATATCATATAATAAATAATAAATAGCAAAGCTTAATAGGCATGTCGGTACATGTCAAAGTTTGAGTAAATGTATCCTCAAGTCTTTTTTAACCACATAGAATATTACAAAAAGTTTCTACTAGAATCTGAGCTACTTTCTGCACAGCCATGTCTACAGTTTACAGGTCATGGTCCAAAAAGGAGAAAATATCCAATGAGCACCAGTTCTTTGGGTGAAAAGTGCTTTGCTGATGTCAGAGGTCAGAGAAGAATGGCCAGACTGCGTTGACTGGTAGGAAGGCAACAGTAACCATAGTTACACCCAACATATGCAGAAGAGCATAATGATGTGGGGGATATTCTGGCCCCCTAAATATCAAATGAGCATTGTTTAAACACGGTTCTCAAATGGTCCCGTGGTCAATACGTCTCAATATAATAGCGCACCTATGAGATGTAGTGGATCTGGTCCCACCCAACATGCTGTTGAGGAAGGTCTGAAACAAAAAGATGGTCCAGGTGTACCTAATAAAGTGCCTGTGAGTACATTTTGGTTTAAATCAGTGCAGATGGAGAAACACAGGGTTGATTTTGCAGTAATTATTTCAAACAGCATCTAGTTCTGTGAGATCTCAAACATGGAGGAAGTAAAACACAACGCAGAGTATGAAAGATGTTCCAGTGTCAAGATATTTGAGGGGCTGCCTAAGCAAAATGTAATTACTGTATAGAATGATTTTTTTTTTATTACTGAAAAAAGTCCATCACAACAAGGTCTATGACATTACTCAAAAGTCCTATAAATGTATATGTATATATATCACTATTATATTTGACTAGAGCAAAGCCCAGTGTTGATTCAGCTGTGCAAAAGACACGTTGCCTAACTGACCGCATGATAACATCTAGATTTTTTTGTTGTGTTCTCACGGTGTAGAATAAATAACTTCACTTAGCAGTCATACGTCACACCTTAGAGTTTTAGTGAAAGTATCATCTTTCAACCTTGTCTATCCTTTAAGTGTTATCAGAACATAAGAATGATGAAACAGTCTATACACCAGCACAGTCTGCACATAACTACACTGCATTGTATGTTACTGTGTTTTATTGTTTTGTTACTTTACTCTGAGTAGATTCAAAGTTAAATGCTTAGGTGTTGTTTTCTCACCTGGCACAAGAGCTCAGGTGAGTTCCAGAGAAGCTTAACTTTTATTCAAAGAACTGTTCGGTCTTTGACAACCTTGATTTTTAAAATCCTAGTTAAACATCGCAAAACAAAAACAGCATCGCCAGTGCAATATTAGAGAATTTAGTCAGAAAATAAGGGAATAATATGCTGTTTTTCTTCTATTACTTCAATAGAAAACCATAACCTGGAGACAGAGACGCAGTCCAGCCTCGGAGGAGTGTTAGCAGGACGGTACAATGATGTAAACATAACAAACACGAGCAGGCCCGCATCCTGGTCCAATCTGACTGATAAGGCTTCATATTGACTGACTGTCTCACATAACCAATAAAAAGACACATAAGAGAAAGTCAATAGCAGGCCTATAACAGGCCCACTGCAGGCCCGGGGAGCCTATTTAAAGCCGACAGTGAATCGCTGTGCAGGCTGCGCACTGGACTTCATGAATGGGAATTGGCAGCAGCCTCCTGCTGAATGGCTGACAGACACAGGTCCAAAAGCGGGCGATGAATGGGAGTCCGCGTGTAGAGTCACGAGCTGGTACACTGATTCTGGATCCTCGCGAGCGGAACCGGACTGTGCATCATACCAGATCACATCAGGGCCCCCGAGCCCTCCTGTGAGCGACCACACCAACTCCCCCAAGTCTATTAAACGGATTATCGGAAAAGCCCCCCT